AAGAGAACTGGTCCCCAGCTTTCTCTCTGCGGACTCCTTGTGGATGGGGGTGGGGTGAGTGTTGTTCCAGTGGACCAGCTAAGTGGACCTGGGGACAAGAGGCAGGGCACGCAGACCGAACTATGGAATGTATCAGCCTTCCCCTAGGCAGTGTCCGGGCAAGCCAGGGCACGGTCCAATGGTCCAGTGAGTGGACAAGGGACCTCACAGGGACAGAGAGAGCAGCTGGGGCAGTGTAAAGGCAGGAGCCAGGACTGGCTCACCTCCAAGCCCATGAGGACCTATCATTCTATGAGGCAGGACACCTGAGAGAAGCCCTGGGCACCTTCAGCCCCCACCCCACTGGCCACCTGGTTCCCAGCTCTGCCTATGGCGTCTTCCTCTGCCTCCTCTGGCCTCCCAGCTGCCCTTTCCCCTTTTCTCTGTCAATTATCCAAGGAATTATTTGGAGAACAGCTTCCCCAAAGGCAAATTTTATCTTCTATGTTCTGCTAAGTTCTCGGCCGAGGCTGGGAATCCACGTTGGTTCCACATGCTTTCTACGGTCACCTAGCTTTTAAGAAATACAATCGTCTGGAGAATCCTCATGCGATGACCCTGAGGTCACGTGGGGTCTGACGTGGAGCCCTGAAGTCACCCAGCTGAAGGGGCCCACCCCAGCCTGCCAATCCCACACAGACTTCCGGAGTGACCTGTACAGAGCCACGCTCCCTGCCCGTGGCCTCCTGGGCGTTTGCAGTGCCCCCTCCCCCATCCCCGGGCAGCCCAGTCCTGCCTGCTCTCTGGAGAACTGGGCAGGCCGCTCCATTTCAGAGCTGTTTCCAGGCGCAGAGCCCAGCCAGAAATTCCACCCCAGCGGTCTCCTGTTACCTCATGTTCTTATCTGTGTCCCGTGTCTCCGATCACACCTGCGCCCTGTGCACAGGACAGCCCAGCGCCTTTCATCCCCGTGCTGCCTTTTCCCCCAGAAAGTGGGCCGGACACTCGTCCCAGAGCCTGTCTGGCTGCTAAAGCCCAGCCTTCCCCTGAGGTGGCACCCAGGCAGCGCCAGAGTCTGGGGCATTCGGAGTCCGAGGCCGGCACAGGTCCTCCCCTGATTTGTGTTAAGTGACTGGTTTTGCCTCCTCGTCTTCCCTCCGCCACAGTCTTCCCAGTTCCTTCAAGGGGAGTCTGTTTCCTTCATGACCAATGCCTCCAGGCGACTGTAAATAGATAGAAGGGTTGCTTTTTTTAAGTAAAATTATGTGTATCTATGCACCAACCACCTTTTCGAAACACAAATTCTAATCTTCTCAGCGCACCTTCAACTGCGCCGATTTTAAAAATTGGATTTCAATGTGGAGGGGGGGCCATTCGAAGCCCTTGAGGGTGCCTTCCTCAAAGCCTGTGGTCCCTGTGCTCCCCACCCCCACACACGCATACGGCTTCAGGCACATCTGGCCCCACCTCTTGCTGGGCCAGGCCCCTGGCCACCTGCCCAGGGTTGGCGGTCAACGCCAAGGTGAGCCCCGCAGATACATGGGGGCGGGAGAGGCCTGGGGGCCAGCATGGGTGGAGATTCACGGTGGAAGGCAAGAGCCAGCGGGGGCCAAGACAGCGAGGTGGGGCCCATCTGAGAGTCTGCGGTAGGTGGGCTTGACTCAAAGCGAGGGGTCTGGGCAGGAGGTGGGGCCGGAGCCAGAGGTGGATTCTCCCCAAGTCGGAGGAGCGGTTCTGTTCTCAGGCTGGAGGACTCCGGTTGTTAGTTAACACACACTTCTGGTCCCTTCTCCTACAGCCCCGAGGGAAGCCATTGAGCAGGCCACCACCTCCTCACAGGGAACATTGTGTCCTGTGAACGTTTCCTGTTTTTTTCAGATAATCCTCTCCCACACAGGGTGTATGGAATCCAGTGCCCTTTTGAAGAGGGAAATGTCCAGAAGGGTTGAACAGAGAGTGTTCCCCTTTCCCAGCCTGAATGTCCTGCCCTTGTTCACGAGAGGAACATGTATATCAGGGAGGCCAAGTGGGGGTCGCTTGTCTGGGGAGTCGGGGTGTTTTGCACCTTGCGGAGATCTTAGACACCCAGTGAGACCCAGGGTACTCACTGTCACCTTCATTTCCCCACGGAATTGGGGGAGACTCGGGTCTCTGTGCTTTCACACTGAGATGAATACTGAGTGCCCAGGTGCAGGGTGCTAGGAATCCGCCCATTTTACAGATGCAGAAACCGAGGTTCAGCAAGGATAGGGGACTTGCTTAGGGAACAATGAGTAGGTTGCAGGATCAGCATCCCACATGGGATCTGTTGGGCCCCCTGGCTCGGTGAGAAAGCTGAGAGGGGCTGGGGGAAGGGCCCAGGGGGGGGTGCTGAAGGGGTAGCTGTGGTTTAGCCCTGGAAGCACAGATGGGGGTGAAGGCGCGGAGGTGACTGACCCACAGCCCCCCGCTGTGTTTGAAGTGTTCCTGTGTTCCCACCATGTTCGGGGGGACCTCAGCTGTCTTCCTACAACCCCTGGCCGGCCCTACTGGACCGGATCTTTAGGGCTTCATTGTCTCCTTGTTGGAGAGGTGGGGGAAGTATCCCTCCACATTCACCTTAGACGCGTCCCTGCCAGGGCTGCTTGGAGGGAAGCAAGGACAGTGTCCAGCCTGTGGGACCACGGAATGCAGCAGGAGTCAGGCACACAGCAAGCACCTGCTCGCATGATGAAGCGTGTGTGGGTGAAAGAAAGAGGCACTGCTGGCATCAGAGGTCTGCACTGGATTGCCAAGGAGGGTGTGGTTTTGTGGCTCAAGTGTTGCCTTGTAAACACCTAGGAGACAGCAGGTGATGGGGGAGGGGCCACGGACTGACCTGAGCCTTTGTCTCAAAAGGTTGCCAGTCTGAGCTTGGCTGGGTCTTCTTGATGAGGGTCCTTGCATGGACAGTCAGTAGTGTCCCCCCTCCCCGACAGTGGTGCTGGTCCATGCCAGCACTCGTTCCTCCCTGCCCCACCCCCGACTCCGGCCAGAGAAGGTGGGAGGTGGGACTCCCCCATCATCTCAACAGTGGGGTGCTCACTAGTGCTGCATGGAAGCCTGCAGCATGGCTGGCCTTTGACGGGTCCCAGGGCTCCTGAACTGCAGCCTCCTTGGAGGAGGGTTATGTGCCTGAACTCATCACCGATTTGGACAAACACCGACACACCTGTCTCGGGCCTCGCCCCTTAGCAGGTGACCTGAGCTCCTTCATGAGAAACCAAGATCTGAGTCTGGGACTCCCTTTGCTTGGCTCTCTCTGGCGCCCAGGAAACTGCAGCCAAGCCCTGGCCCACTCCCCACACACTCTGTGCCCTGGTGAGCTCCCTTCCTACTCAGAGCTCATTAGCAGCCCCTCCCATCCTCAGCCATCCTCCTGCTGGTCCCCCCAGGAAGCCGGGTTCTCTCTCGGTGGGCAATCTCCTTGCTCCTCGCCTCTGCTTCCAGACCACCCGTCCTCCTGGTCCTTCAAACCCCTGGTGCTTTGAGCCCCATGGCCGCTTCAGAGACCGTACCCGAGCCTGAGCTGCCGGCGTCCGTGGATGGCCTCGTGCCCTGGCTCACTGCTTTCTCTCCACCCCGTGAGCTCCCTAAATGGCCTTGTCTTCCACACCACTCTCCCATCCACCCACGGTCACGCCCTCACGTCATCACCTCCGCCAGCTGCTCCGCACCCAGGACCCCATTCTCATCCTCCTAAGCCAGGACCCCCGCCCGCTCCCCTGCAGGGTGCTTACCCACCCAGTGGTGCTTCTGCCCCAACGAGAACCCCAGACCACTGACCCTGCAGCTCTGTCCACACCCACAGCCCTGTTCAGACTCTCACATCCCTCCTTCCCCGGCTTACATTCTGTGGTCCACCCACTGAAAGATACACTGAGGCGAATTTAAAATTGTAAGGGTGTATTAGAGCTAAATTGATTTGAATGAGGCAGTGCCAGACATGGAGTGGTTAGGAGTGCTCCCCAACTGGAGGTAGGGACAAGACTTTCTAGAGAGGACAGAAGCAAAGCAAGGGCTTTACTCAAACTGATGGCAGCTTGGGTGGTTGGCTTATTCGGGAAGGCTCTGTGGGTCGTCCTTAAGGTTTGATTTCTTAACCTTGAGGCATCACAGGTGTGACGGCTGACTTTGGTGCCACCTCAGTCTGATGGCCTCTGCGTTTGATTAACTGAACACACCATTGTACCCTTTTTCTTGCAAATGCCTTCAATCCCCGCCCTTTCTCCCTCCATCACGCCACCACCACCACCGTAAAAATCCTAGCCCTCTCCAGGTGTTCTGTACTTTCACAAGAGCGGGTGGTAGCTGTTACTGAAATGGATCCAATCCCACGGCTCAGTCCATTCATGACCCCGGGACTGGAGCGCTCGCACCCACGCAGCCCTACCCCCTTTGGAGGAAACTTTCTGTTCCAACCCATATGCACCTTCCTCACAACTCTCACCCAGTGACCTCATCGAACACATGCAATCCCATGTCCCGTTGACCGACCCACTGGGCCACAGTCGTGCCCAATGGTTGATTGCTTCCCAGCCCCGTCCAGAGTCAATTGCCCCGGGGAACCTTCTCCTCCCACTGGGTCCTCTTCCCCAGGAGGTGTCCAGCAGTGTCCTCCCTGATTCAAGGGATGACAAGAAACGGAAAGGGAGCCCTCCGTGTCCAGGACATCCATTGCCATTGGGGGACGCACAACTGCTCTCCGACCCCCATCTGGGGTTGAGGCCCTCTTCTCCCCTCTGCCACGGCCCCAGACCCCTCCCAGCACCCCAGCGGCGACAGAGGTGGGCCGAGTGAGCGCCCTGCCACCCCTCTCCGCCCCCACTGGGCGCCGGGTGGCTCGGCGGCAGGACCGAGGGGCGGGGCTGCCGGTGACGTCACGCAAGAACTGTCTGAGCGGCGGCGCCGAGGACCGGCGGAGAGCGCCCTGGGGCGCAGAGCCGTGCGGGGCGGTCCCCAGACGCCGATCCCGACGCGGGACCCCTCCACCTCCGCGAGCGCGGGAGCGCGTCCGACTCCCACCGCAGGCCCCGAACCCGAGACCCCCGCTGTGCCGCCGCTATGTACGACCCCGAGCGCGGATGGAGCCTGTCCTTCTCGGGATGCGGCTTCCTGGGCTTCTACCACATCGGGGCGACCCGCTGCCTGAGCGAGCGCGCTCCGCACCTCGTCCAGGACGCGCGCATGCTGTTCGGCGCCTCGGCCGGGGCGCTGCACGGAGTCTTTTTGCTCTGCGGGATCTCGCTGGGTACGTACGTCCGGGGGCCGCCGCCGGGGCTCCGCCGGGTGGAGCTGGGATGGTACACCGACACCGCGGGGTACGTCCTGGGGTGGGGGGCGCCCATCCCCAGACGGATGCTACCTCTGCCGGGTCCTCTTGCTCGGCGCGGGGGGGTTCTCTGTGGCCAGCCCGGGAGCGGGGTGCGCCTGGCCTTGGCTCTTCTGGGCGTGGGAACCCTAAGCGTATCTGCCCTACTGTGGCGCCAGGGCTTACAGGAAGCCCCTAGCCCCGGAACTGAGAGTGAGCTCAAACGGAGCATCGTGGAGGAGGGGGCAGGATGGGGGCGGGTGGGGAGGAGGTAAGGGTGGAGCTGGTCCCTGCGGTCCCTGCCATCAGGTCACAAGGCGCTGGGCGTTTTGCTCTGGGTTGGACCCGGAGGGGGACATTTGGCTGTGTCCCTGGGCAGGCGCCGTCTTCCCTCTGGAGACTACAGGGATTGGAGACAAGCCTGGCCCCTACTGGGGGTAGGGTGGGGTGTGCTGGATAGCGTTTCAGGAGGGAAACACTTCGGAGTCCTCCTGGGTAGGTTTACTGGTTTGGATGGAAGGGTCATGGGGGAGACGGGAGGGGGGATGCTGTGGGGTGGGGGGCTTGGAGGCGGTACTAGACCTTTCCTAGGGCTGGGGTGGATCCCTGAACCTCCCCCAAACCATCCTTACCCCCCCAGGTCAGTGCCCTGGAAATGAGGTCCTGTTCATTTGAATCTCGTGCTAATTGAACATCTGTGTCTATAGCTGGTGGTGGGAGGGCAAGATGTGGGCTTGTGCCCAGGTGGGCCAAGCTAGGGTGTGGCCTGGGGTTCTGAGCCCCGGGGCAGGACCTGGGACAAGTGACAGCTGGAGCCGTTGCACCCAAAGACCCCTAGACAGGAACAGAGTGCCCCTCCTCTGTCCCCTTTCAGCTTCCTTAGCCATCTACTCTTTGCTCTTCCCTGGGGACTGTGGTGTTGGACTTGGCCGACAGGGAGTGACTTTGTTCCTGCATGGCCAGGAGTCCCTGCCAGTAGGTGCAGTCCTGCCATTGGATAGGCTCCATGAGCAGATACTGGGCTGACCAGGAGGTGGGGATTGGGAGAGAGGCCCTGGCTGGCTTTTCCATTGATGGGAGGGGAGCAAAGGGCAGGAGTGTGGCCTCAGGGAGGATTAGACCGGCCACATGGCCAGTCCTCACACTCTGGGCTTTGGCGGCGATAAAAGACAGCCCTTGTATGTCAAGGTAACCTGTACCCACTCCAGAACAGAGGGAGTTCCTAACTGGCAGAGGACAGGTGCAGCCAGGGTCTGTACCCTGTGGAACAGGGGGAGGCTTGGGGACCACCAGGTCCTTGGAAAGTGGGGTCTAGAGGTTTTGGCAGGAGCCGCTTCTCCAATTCCAGGAGCCCTGCTTTAAATTCCTATCTCATTTGGGGACCACTGAGGAGCATTTCCTAAGGCCACAACTTGGAAAGAATTCCTGCAAGTCCTTCCAAGCCAAGTACTTGGTGGGAGAGCCTGGCAGAATGTGTCAGCTGTGTGCAACTTTGCCCCTTCTGCCTGGGCTCAGTGGGGCCACATGTGTAGGGAGAAGCGAGCTGAGGTCAGAGGTCGGCCAGGACAGGCAGGCCTATGTGTGTCCTTCTGCATCTCTTGATCTCCGACGGGCTTGGTCTTGGGCTGAGACTGGTGGCCTTGTATGTCAGGGCAGTGCAGATCAGCCAGAGGGCGTCCAGACCCAAGGGTGAGGCTTGACGGGGCATGAATGTGGCCCTTGCCCGTGAGACAATGGTAATTCTGGTGTCAGAGGCTTAAGGGTAAGTCTAGTTCTTCATGAGGAGCCTTCTCTGGCTTGAGGATATTACAGATGGTAGCTTATCTAATCCCTTGTTTCCCCAAAGTTAAAAATGCACAGTCTGAGATGGTGAGGGTCAGTGAAGTGACTTTCCAAGGTCGCGTGGCCAGTAAGAGATGGACTTGCCCTTGGGCCCCAGCCTGCACTGACTCTCTGCTTCCTGCAGAATTAGGTCCTTTGTGCTAAAGCTCCGATGCTGGGGTGTTTCCACTTCTGGCTTTGGGGGATGGAGCGGAGGAGAGAGTGCCTCTGGGCCTCGGGAGGCTCGTTCCTGTGGCGGGACCTAGGGCAGCGCTGTTCAGGAGAGATACAGGGTAGCCGTGTGTGTCATTTAATATTTCCCAGCAGCCACAGTGAAAAAAAGTGAAAGACAGAAGGGGAATTAATTTCATTGATCCAAATGCAGCCGGAATATTATCATTTGCACACCTGATCAACACAAAACACAATTAAAGAAGTATTTTTTTAATTTATTTTTTGTATGAAGCCTTTGAATTCCGACATGCTGTTTACGCACCTCAGATGGGAATGGCCATGTGGGAAGGGGCCCATGGCTGCACGTGGCTGCTTTATCAGCGTGGGCCTGGAAGCAGGCTGGCCGCTTCCATGCCACCTGGGGATCGGGTCTTGCCACAAAGCACTGCCATTGCCGGGGTGGCACAGTCCTTTGTGTGTTTGTCTCCTGCCCCCCAGACATCATCATGGAGCTCATCATGGACATGGCCCAGAGTGCCAGGAGCCGGAAGATTGGCATCCTCCACCCCGCCTTCAACCTGGGCAGGCGCCTCCGAAATGATCTTCAGACACATCTCCCAGACGACGTCCACAGGCTCATCTCTGGCAAAATGTACATTTCGCTCACCAGGGTGTCCGATGGGGAAAATGTGCTGGTGTCTGATTTTCAGTCCAAAGAAGAAGTTGTGGATGTAAGCAGTTTGCTTATTTGGGCCTTGTCAAGTAAGAAAAGCTATTTCCCTTTGGAAGCAACACAGAGAAGGCTGCCGGAGGCCACCTGCCCTGTTTCTTAAGATGCAAAAGGCCCTGGCTGCCCAGGAGGCTGGTTGGTTTCCTGCACCACTCTACGTGCCTCCGGCCGTTGGTGGTCTCTAGCGCGCTTACATCCCGGAACATTTCTAGTTGGTTTCAGATTCAAACACTACCTCCCCGTTCTTCAAGACTTGGCTCGTGATCCTCTCTTCCAGAGACCCAGTCGCACAGGTGTCTCTCCTCCCACCATGTACATTCCTAGCATATATAGCATCTGTAGCATCCCAGCAGCCACGATCAACCTCCATTTAACCTTGTTTTTAAAAGCTTTTTCTGGATAGGCAGCACTGGTCCATTCCCATAGGAGCAGGTTTTTTTGCAGCGGGCCGGTCTTGCTTCCTGCCCCCCTGCCGCCCGCTGGGATCCGCAGCATGAGCAATATCTGGAAGCTTCTTAGGCTTCCAGGCTCTCAGGCCCCTCCAGCCTGCTGCGTCAGAATCCTGGGTGAGCCGTGGACTCTGCTGTTGACCAGCTTTCCGGGCAATGATGTGCGTTTGCGAAGCCCTGGTCTGCTGTCTTCCCAGTCAGTCTGGGACTCTGCGAGGGCCCAGTGCACCTCTCATGGGGAGAGGGACAGGGAGCTGATGTCCCAGCGTCATTAGGAGCTTCTACTTAGGCCCTGAAATACGAGTGTGTAGGTTGGTTTGTTGTTCGTTCAGCTCGTTTATTAAAGCCACCCCCCCCCCTTTGCAAAGACCATCTCTGGCCTGTTGCTCTGTTCATCTGAAGAAGGCTGATGCGCAGGCCCCCAGGGTATCAGAAGGCAGGCTCTTCGGGCCTGGGGTTTCACTTCTTTTTGTCTTCACAGGCCTTGCTCTGTTCCAGCTTCATCCCTTTCTTCTGTGGCATAATCCCTCCTTCCTTCAGAGGCGTGGTGAGTCTGCTTTTAAATTGCCCAGGTCCTGCCTGCAGGGCCCCAGCCACAGGCGCCCTGGGGCCTGTCCCCAAATGCAGAGCCTTTGCCTCTTGGCCTCTCAGACCAAGGTTCCCCAGCTGGCCCCCTTCTCGGTTACCTGGGCAGTATGTCCACTTTCAGGTAGAATTAATTATCTCGCTATCTGGAAGATAAGCGGTTTCTCTTATCTTCAGCTGAGCGCCCCAGATAGGTCCCCGCTGGTGTGGTTAAACTCCAAAGTGCTCCTGTGTCCGTTCCTTGCTTTCGGGAGAGCTTTATTCTTTGTACTCCGGAGTCTACGGCCCCTTTTCGGGCAAAGGGCTTTGGGCAGAAGCTGCCGACAGGGCTTGGATTTGGTTCCGTCCCACAAATATGTGTTGTGACCGATTGCTGAGCCCTGGCAGGGATGGAGAGACACAGGGTGTGCTGTGTTTTCTGAAGGTGCTAGACCAGATGCCGGGCAATGCCAGGCCACTGGCAGCCTCCTTCTAGGGCCATGGTGATCACACCGGGTGATTCTGCTCCCTCCCCCCGCCCCCGACCTGACCCCGGGACAATGTCTGGAGACAGTCTGGGTTGCCACAGTGAGGGAGTGCTCGAGGCCTGGGGTGCGGCTGACATCCCGCAGTGCGTGGGCTGGCCCACTCCCCAAAGAATGACCTGCTCCTTAACATCTGTAGTGCCAAGCTAAGACATCCTGTCTTGCGAGAGCAGACACGACATCTCAATGTCCCAGAGCAGTGGTGTCCTCACACTGGAGAGCAAAGGCAGAGGCTTGTCACACCGAGATTCCCTTGTGCCTTCCCAAGCTTCCCAGCCCCATAACAGACACATGGTCCCTGCTTTTGGATGCGAAAACAGGTCTGGAGCTGCACAGGGGTCCGCCCATATGCCCACGGCCTCTGCCTGGCAGACACACCCGGACTGAATCCCCCCTCTGGCACAGGTTAGCTGGACTGCTTGGGATGCGTTTCTTTCTTTCTTTCTTTCTTTTTTTTTAAAGATTGTATTTATTTATTTGACAGACAGAGATCACAAGTAGGCAGGGAGGCAGGCAGAGAGAGAGGAGGAAGCAGGCTCTCCGCGGAGCAGAGAGCCCGATGTGGGGCTCGATCCCAGGACCGTGGGATCATGACCTGAGCCAAAGGCAGAGGCTTTAACCCACTGAGTCATCTAGGTGCCCCTGGGATGCGTCTCTTAACCTTTCTGAGATGAGTTTGCAAAACAAGGGTTCCTCATAGTGCAGTGTGGTCAAGGTGTCGTGAGGCTCGCACGAGCGAGGGCCCTGAGCTGCTCATCACAGAGCCTGGCACAGGGGAGCTTGCAGGAAGTGGGGGCTGTTTCACCACCAGCGGAGATGTCCCCGCCTTGCTCACCTGGCCCAGGTTGCCTCAGTCCCCCTAGAAGTGGGGGAGAGGGGGGTCACACATTCAGTACCCTCCAGTGAAACCCACAGAGAATCAGAACACCTCCTTCTTGTGATTCCGCCCAGCAAACTCAGAGAGTTACAATAGGAAAATCTGGAACGAAAAGGAAAATTCTCCATGACAAGGTGCATTGGACTTGAGACTACTCTTTGCGTGAGAAACAGTCAGCCTGCTTCCTCCCTTAGTGTTCCCTAAGGTTCTGGACGTTCCGGTCCATGTCCCCTTCTGCCATGAGGTTTCTGAGGCTTCCCTACATCTTCCATGGGAATTGTGTGGCTACAATTTTGAAAATACTGCATATACACGTGTGATCATCTTTTGGACTCGAGGCAAGACTCTCCAGATTGGCTAAGGCATGGCTGAGCACGGGTGGTTCTTCTCTGGACTGGTTGTAGGTCTCGGGGAGGACGGGCTGTGATATTTGCAGGCCTTTCTCTGTGGGTATCGACAGCTGGCCTGGGACGGCCTCGGATTTGGGAATCATTCCGGACACTGCTTTGAGCGATGCAAACTTTGTCCATATTGTATCCAAACCTGCCTGTGCCAGCCAAAGGTTGTCAAAGGGGATGGATGCAGGAAAGCTGTTGCTCACAGCTTTGGGATCAGTGGCCGATCCCAAATGCCACTAGGTTGTGGGTTCGGGGGGGTTTCTGAAGGCTGCCCTGGACCCAGGTTCGCTGCCACTTGAGTCTCCAAAGCTCTTCAAGACGCTGGTTCTGATTTTCCAAGCAGCAAAGGAGGGGGTCTGGAATTGAACACAGAAGAGTCTCTTGCAAGGCAGGGTCTCTATCGTACCCTGACCGCAGGGCACACAGAACGCCTTTCGTGCAGATTACATGGGCACATCGATAGGCACCTGCCTGGGCTTTAGACTGGGCCAGCACAATATAGGCTGGGCTCCAGCTTCTGTTTGCCTCTTTGCCCAGTACTTTTTGTGCAGTGCACAAACTACACAACAGTACAGAGCACATTTGAGTGCTAGCACAGAGCCTGGCCTAGCACAGAAATGCTCAGTAAGGCTTTGTTGAAAGTGTAGTTCTGGAACCTTGTCTTCCCACAACATCAGCCTGTGGCTCTGAGAAGCCTCTACCCATAATCTGAAAAAACCCAGAAGACATCAGCCCAGAGCTTCTGACAGTATGTCCTTTTCTCCTCCCCATTAAAGCGATACGTGGATGGAGGAATAAGCGACAATGTCCCTTTCTTTGATGCCAAAACGACCATCACTATGTCCCCCTTCTACGGGGAGTATGACATCTGCCCTAAAGTCAAGTCCACGAACTTTCTTCACGTGGACATGACCAAGCTCAGTCTGCGGCTCTGCTCCGAGAATGTCTACCTCCTGATTCGAGCCCTGTTCCCTCCGGACCTCAAGGTGCGTTGGGGGCTGTGTGTTCTGGGGGTACAGCTCCTTTTTGCCTCCCTGCTTGCCAGGAGACCTCCCATTTGTTCTTTCCGCAAATAGAAACAGATCTCCCTCATCAAATAGAAACTCAGGGGAGGGTTTCCAGCAGCTCAGGGCTGCCCCACTCTGGAGTCTCCTGGGAAGACTTAAACAGCCCCGCAGCACAGATCCCACATCCTGGGGCTTTGATTTTTTTGAAATCAAAATGCACCCCCCCGGGTGCACCCAGGGGGCAGTGGTATTTTCTTTTCTTTTTTTTTTTTTCTCTCAGTTATCCTGATGATTCGTCTTTGCAAGCGTGGTCGAGAACCACGCCGCATTTGGTGGTTTCATCTTTCTCGCTTGTTACCATCGGGGGTCTTATCTCCCTAACATAAAGAAAATGTGTGAACCATGTACACTGATGGTTCTCAGGGGAGAGAGAAGGCAGCATGGACGTACCCCAACAGTGTGTGCCCCAGGAGAGCGGGGAGGCTGTGCATTGCTTTGCATGTGGGGTTTGTATCCAGATGAGTGGAGAAGGCCGCTGTTAATTGTCCCGTGACAGCTCGAACAGGACCCCGTATTTGGGAGAGTGGAGGCTCATCTGGGGACCAAGGGAGCCCAGAGAAACCAGTGCCTGTCATGCTGGGCTGCCAGCAAAGGCTCCGCGGACAGGGTGTCCTTCGAGCCTGGTCCGGTGTGGAAGCAAACTTCTGTCTCCTAGGAGTGCGGAGCCCTGTGTCCAGCCTCGCTGTGGCCACGCTGGGCCATGGGAGCAGCTCTGGGCGGGGAGGGCTCTGCCCTTGGTCTCTGCACTGCATTTACCTTACTTGATTCGTTGCCAGGTGCTTGGTGAGATATGCCTTCGCGGCTACTTAGACGCCTTCAGGTTCTTGGAGGAGAATGGTATGTACGCTGCAGGTGAGGTGAGGGCAGACAGGGCCTTTGAACCAGCTCTGCGGGCAGTCCGTCACCCGTGGCTGGGGTTCCGTAGAAAGCCAGCGCTCGGTGTCCTCGCTCGACACCTTGCTCAGTCCCCTCATTTGCCCCGGGAGCCAGGAGATCTTGGCCCCATTAGACAAATGGGGAGACGGAGGTGAGCCGGGGACTTCCCCCCGTGCCCCCGCCCTCTCCCCCCACCCCCCCGCAGTAACCCCGTCTGCATAGTGAAGGCAGTCCTTGGTTTTTCTTTTCCCCGGAAACTATTTTGAACCTTTAGATAAACAAAGGAGGGAGTTAAGCGGGTTTCTGGCCCTGAGCCCCAGGTGGAGAAATCAGAATCCTTGTCTCCGGCCAGGTGTGGGTCACGTGGGTCTCTGGCCACAGCCCCTGAGTCCCGCTGTCCTTTCCGGAGGGAGCTGTGCTCTTGCCAATCTGAGATGTATTGGGGGCTGTTCATCTTCAAGGCTAAGAGTTGGTTTCCCTGTTGCTTCTCTGAACTAGTCTTTGGCCGAGAGCAAGGAGCGGCAATTAGAAGTAGGGGCACGTGTTTCTCGGCACGGACAATGTGGTTTGGCCTCTTCAGCGTGCCACGCCATTGGCTAGGTGCTGGGGTACCACCGGGCAGGGGCAGGTGTGGCTTCTGTCCCTCCTGGAGCTTAGCCTGTGGGCCAGGTGGGCCAGGAAGCAAGTGGAAGGACAGTGTGTGCCAAGTGCGCTGACAGGAAGCTATAGGACACTGTGGGATTACAGGGGAGGGGTCTGCATGGCCCCCCCCGGGGGAGGGGAGGGCTCCAGGAGGATGCAAATTCGTGTTGCAACTTGGGATGAACAGGAGTGTTCTGGGCGTGGGGGCCGAGAGTGACGGGTGGGCAGGCCACAGAGAGTGCAGCAAGGAGGGAAAGAAGGCACACATGACTGGAGTGGCAGGGGTAGGGGCCACTGAAAGATGGGCGGCGGGGGGGCAGGGGCCAGGCCTGGACCTGGTGGACACAATAGAGGTTTGCATCCTGCAGCTGTAGGGAGCCACTGAGGGGCGTGGAGTGAGGAGTGAGGGAGGTCAGTAGAGGCCTTGGGCTGCAGGCGGAGAGGGTGAGATGCTGGTCTCCAGGGGACCCTTGAGGCAGCTGAAGGGTCAGCAAGGGCCAGGGCAGTGAGGGTGTTGCAAGGGGCCCGAGGGAACAGGCCTCGTGGATGACCAACCAGAGACTCAGGAATGAAGTCTTGGCTTCTGGGTCTCGCAGCTGGGGTAGGGGTGCCCTGCTCCCTGGCTCAGGGCTTTCGGGAAGGGGAGGGAAAGCATTCTTGGGGAAGCCTGGTATGCTGTGCATGGGTCGGGTGGGTGTGCAGAATCCCAGGGCCATCCGGGGGCAGCTGTGCAGGAGGCAGCTAACGGCAGGGCCTGAAGTCCCGGAGAGCGGTCTAGGCTGGGAATGCAATGGAATTTGGAAGGAATCTAGGAATCAGGGACAGGCGCAGAGCCCTTAGGGGCGCACTCAGGTGACACAGTGACTTTCCTAACTAGAAGCCTTTGGGCAAACCACCTCCGTCCCTGGGCCTCTGTGTCCAGCCTGTAGCAAGGGGAATGTGGATTAAATGCCCAGGGGATTCTTGGTAGTTCTGAAGATGGGCCTTGGTGGCCTCTGGGTTGGGTTGGAGTCTAAAGATACCGGTGAGTAGATTCTGGGGACAGATTCTTTGAAACATTCCTGAGGGAGGGTACAGTCCTGGCAGATGAGGAGGGTGCCTGATGGAAGCAGGAAAGATCTACGGGAGCAGAGGCTCTGAAGGCCCCTGGCACGGTGCGGATGCTGGTCCCTCCAGGGGCCCAGGGAGGTAGCCGGAGGCTTGGCCAGGGGTCTGGTCACGAGGGTGGTGTGGAGATCAACCCGAGGAACAAGGCACAGGCATCTGGCAACAGCTCCTGGTCTTCCTAACCAGAGGTCGGGAGCAGGAGGGGAGCTGGGGGCAGCGTGGACACCTGGAACAGCCTGTTCCCTTGACCAGCCCAGCGAGCCAGTTCTCTGAGAGCGGGAACCACTCACTGGTATCAGCCAGTGAGCCCCAGCACGAGGGCGGGACCTGCCCAAACTCCCTCACCCAGCCCTGCTTTCAAAGCCACACGGTGGAAGCGCGGCATCTTTACTGTCGGACCTGGGTTCGAATGCTGCTCTTGCACTCACGGGCTATGAGGCTTTGGGTGAGTCTCTTAACCTCTCTGTGCTTCTGATTTCTCAGCTGAAGTGGAGGAGCAGAGACCGGGGGTAACGATCCTAATTGTTACCAAGTTCCTAATCAGGGGCCTGAAACACAGGCCTCACCAGTGATTCAGTGATTATAAATTAGTTGTAATTCTTATCTTTCACCTTCATAAATGCACCTGTGGCTGTGGAACTCGCACAGCTAGTGAGGGATGGCGCCTCAGCCAAGCTCTCATCTCTCCGGCTTCAAAGCCCCACGCTTGTTCCTCTCGGTTACAAAAACCTGTACGCCCGCCCTCATTTCTCCCCCGGTGGCTGCCTGTGTCCCCGTCATTCTGTGGGTGCATGTGTGAGTAGGGTCCCCTGCTGCCCGTGTTCACCTGCTGGCTGGTTTCCCATGTCCCCGGTAGGCATCTGCAACAAGCCCCATCCGGGCCTGGATTTACCCTCGGAGGAGGCGAAGACCCTTACCTTCCCCCGGGGACACAGGAGCCCGGAATCTGGCCCAAGGGTGTCTGCGGAGAGGATGGAGCCCGAGGGAGACGAGCTGCTGGACCACCTGCGTCTCAGCATCCTGCCCTGGGACGAGCGCATCCTGGACACCCTATCACCCAACCTCACTGCAGGTGCTGACCGCGTGGGGGTGGGGGAGTGCTGAGGATGTGGTTTCCTGTGACACAGAGAGACTGAAGGGGCTTCCCCCCCGCCCCCGGGTGTTGTGAAAGAAAGTAATCCTGCATGTGGGAGCTCAGGCAGGCCTGTTGGGGCCCCCACTCCCGGCACAGGCCCGTGCTCAGTCTCTCTTCCCATGGGGTCATGACTAGAGGAGAGCAGTCTTCTGCTGAGTCTGTTTTGAGTGAACCGGGCACACCAGATGGTGGGGATGGGGAATGGGGGGCACAGGGGTGGGCCCTTCTTCCAGAACACATCCTTCCTTGCTTACCCATTGCAAAGCCTTCTTTCTCGAGGAGCCCCCTTTCCCTGATTTCTCCCTGCCTCCAGACCTGCAGTTTTGAATCTCCATTGAGTGGCGATAGACTTTATCACGTGATCAGCTATTACGTGGACAGGCGTGCACACACCTGCTTCTGGATCGGGCACTTGGAGAGATTCAGAGCCGCGGGGGACCTCACCCCTGGCTCCAGGGCTCTAGCACGTCTGTTGTGCTAATTCACTAGCCAGCACTTGGCGGAGGGTTCTGGGCAGAAGGAAACAGTCCAGCGGAAGGTTCAGGGAAAAAAACTCAAAAGTCGATGGGGTATTCGAGAAGTTTGTGTAGCCCTTCAAAAACAGTTGTTATTTAAAAGAGAGCGGTGCACTGAGCACCCTGTGTCCTGTGGGCTAGCTGAGGGCTGTTCTGGGAAAACGACTCATTTGATCTATATGGTGAGTGCTTCTGAGTCTTCGGATGCCCGGATTGGTGTATTTTGTGGAAATTCCAAGCAGCCCCTGGGGAAGGTGGTTTGGTTTTTACTCTGGTGGGAGACATACCTCCACATTATATTTTTCAGCACTGAGTAATGCAATTAAAATGCAACGTGGACAAGTGAGCAAGATTTACAATTTCTTACCGGTTAAGGTCCTGTCGTATGTGATGCTGCCTTGTACGCTCCCCATGGAGTCTGCCATCGCCGTGGCCCAGAGGTGAGCCTTTTGTGTGGCTTTGTGCTTTCCTCCCAGGGTTGGGTGGAGATGGAGAGAATCCACATAAGGGCGCTTGACCTGTGGCCTGGCTCCGTGTAGAGTGCCACAGAGCCCACAGTCCACAAGGAGAGCCCTACAAGGTGCCTCACGGTGACCCCTCTCAGGCTGCCTCTTTTCTCCAGGCTCTTGTTTGCCCCTTCTTAGTAGGTGTACCCTTCCATTTCGGGATTTTATTCATGGAACGTTGGGAGGCACACACTTGAATCCTGGGTATTTGTTTAACCTCTGCTTTCTTTCGTTTTTTTTTAAGATTTTATTTATTTGAGAAAGAGAGCATGAGAAGGGTGAGGGTCAGAGGGAGAAGCAGACTCCCTGCGGAGCAGGGAACCTGATGCAGGATTCGATCCAGAGACTCCAGGATCACGACCTGAGCTGAAGGCAGTCTCTTAACCAGCTGAGCCACCCAGGCGTCCCCAACCTCTGCTTTCTTTAGATTTATGTTGGTGTTTACGGTCTTTTTAGTGAGTCGGTGGACATGGCCTTTGGTCCATCTTGTAGAGGCCAGACCATCCTTCTGAATGCAGCTCGGTTCTCCTGACCAGACCCCCTCCCCACCCTACTGAATTAGCTGCCTGTTCCCCGACACCCCTGCCCTGGGGTGAGGCCCCGTCAGAGCTCAGCACATGGACCCATTTGTGCAGGGGTGGGGGCAGGGGCTGGGGAGTCTGCTGAGCTGGCGCATGGCCCAGTGCCGCAGGGCTGTGGGGGCCAGGGAGGTGCCACCTTGACTATGAGATTCTCTGCGTCTGCTTCAGCTGGTACCGTGCCACAGAGAAGCCTGGAAAGCCCTCCCCTTTTATTTCCACGCATATCCCTTGAGGTTTCTGGAGCCCCACGTGACCTAACTTCACTTTTGGGCTTTTAGGGAGGTTTGTCTTTCATGTCAGGTGCCTAATCCGCTTTCTGGGACTGATCAGATTGGGGTTAGATGTGAGTCTGGCAGTTTCGCTGGACAAAGGGCATTATTCTAGGGTCCCTGCCTTTGGGTTTTGGTTGTGCGTGTGTGTTTTGGCTTGTTTTCGTGCATGTCCATGTGTGTGTGTCTCTCCTACAGACTGGTGACGTGGCTTCCAGACATGCCCGAGGACATCCGGTGGCTGCAGTGGCTCACCTGTCATGTGTGCTCTCGAGTGATGACGCAGCTCCTCCCCCACTCCAGGTCTGCGGCTTTGGGGGGGGGTGCCTATTTATGCAAATTCTCATCTGACCTCAGCTTGCTGAATCATGGTGTTGGGGGGGCCCTGGGGGTGGAACCCTGCATTCTTCTTTGCTAACACGGCCCCTGGGATGCTGCTGCTTCTGAATTCAGAAAACTGATTCAGAGTGAAGAAGGGCTTTGTTGCAGCCATAAGGGTTGTTGGGTCTAATCTTGAAAATCATGGCCCTTGGCGGCCTCACCTGTTCCGTGTGGGTGATCTTCATCTCCTCGCTGGGCTTCTGTGTGGCTTTTGGGATGGCACAGTGCTGGTCACATGGTGGGCACTCAGGAGATGGGGGCTCAGTGCTATTGGCAGACACAGAAGGGTTCAAACTGGGGCAGTGGAAGGGTCTGGTCTGCAGTGGGCAATGACTCTTGTGGCCATGGGAAGGAGCCCTCATCGCTGGACCATCGGGAGGCAGGTTCATGAGCTAGAGGGCCACTGCACTGGCTCAGGTAAGGATGAGGAGGGCCTGGTCTCACTAGAACCTGCAGGACGGAGCCATTTGCAGGCTCTAGGGCCAGAAGGAGGTGCCAGTTGCAAATCCTGGGGTCTGCCTGAGTCCCGAGGGAGCGGAGCAGCTGGTCAGAAGGAGGCGGCCTGGGGATGGTGCTGCAGGCTTGTGGCTGAGTTGGTCTATGTGGGGCCTGTTGATGGGCTCCATTGTGCCTGCGGATGTCCAGTGGGAGCGGTCCAGGTGCTGGAGAGCCACCAGCTTAGAATCCCAGGATGGTGACATCAGCCCAGCCTGGGAGAGCACTGTGGTTTTGGACACCACCCCCCTGCAGTGACCCAAGCATGCATGGAGGGGCTGGTGGTGGCCATCCGTCCTTGCTGAGGCTGAAGACCTCGGAGCAGCAGGACAGTGGCTGAGTCAGTAGCCTTCACCTGTTTCAGATCGAGGACACCAGCAAATGGCCAACAGCTTTCCCTGAGGGACGTGAAGGCACTGCTCCTCTTCGTGCTGCCCAGCAGGGGCCGGAGCTGAGGCCTCTGAGCAAACTGGTCCTCCTGTCTGGCCTGGCGTTTGCGGGCTGGAGCTGCGAGGGACTCCTCCTTTCCCGCTCGCTTTCCTCGGGCAGACGCATTCCTGAGTTAATCAGGAGACAAATCTAGGACACTCTTCCGCAGGCACTTCCCGATTTTTCTGCAGCTACGCCCACACTGGCAGGGATCTGCCCGGGTCTGACACACGGGGTCCTGCCTCGGTGCCGAAATTACGGTTTATTGAAACCAAAGGCAAACTACTGTTTTTAGGAAAAGCTAGGAAACTACTTTTGGTGTACGTGTTGGTCTAGAGCTTAAGGAAGCCTGATATTTAAGCATCTGGGTCTGTTAGCTCACTTGGCTGGGAAATGACACCAGGGAGCCCATGGCGGAGGGGCCACCGCCAACCACCTTGCAGCCTTCCCAGTGCAATGTTCCGGGAGCATCCTGTGTTGTGATGGGCTGGGGGTGTGTGGGGGTGGGGACTGGGGGGGGACTTACGGCTGGGGGTTGGGCTGCCCTTTGTGCAGTCTTGGGGTTTAGAAGGAAGAGTAACATCACCCCATTTCCCCAGACAGGAAGTGGTTGGTGTGGCAGGGGTGGGGTGGGGTAGGGGGGGATGCAGCATTCCCCAGGGAGGGCACTGACCATGGTGGTAAAAGATGCTCACTTATTTACATTTTGGAACACTTCTTTGACCTGGCCTAAATATTTGATAGAGTTTTGTATAAACTATAGGGAGTCTTATTATCTGTTGCATTGTACGTTATGTGAATCAGGGAGGTGTTACTAAGCCTTACCAAAAAAAAAAAAAAAAAAAATGCAGTGCACAGCACAAATAGGCATCCTGGGCTCCCAGGCCATTACCAGCACAACAGAAGGGCTTGTGGCCTGTGCCCCTTTTTTCTCAATAGCCCCTGCCCATACTCCCAGAGCCTTAATGGAGACAAGAAAGAGACGGGCACCTACGTTCTCTCCAGGTGGGATGGGTTGGCAAGCACAGAGTAATGTCACTGCAGGTGAAATGTGCTATTTTTCTGATTTATGCATTTGAGTGTAACCAAAAGACAACAGCGATAAGCTCGAAATCCTCAACATTGGCAAAACAGGCTACATCTCTCCCCTGTACTGAATCAGTACACTGGGAGTTGAAGAACCAGAAGGTTCCAATACAGCACTTTCTTACAAAGACAAGACCTTGAAAAGAGGAATGTGGTTCTTGGGGCAGCCTTCATGAGAGCCTGTCCCTTGAGCTGCCATGAGACTGTGGACACCTTGAGGCAGGCTCCTTGTAGGCATACGGAGCCACCGCCCAGCACTCAGAATCCCCACCTTGCGGCTCCTTGCTGCGTCCTTGTGTCCTGGGGACGTGGGTACGGAGGCTTCGTTCTGATGGCACTCCCCTCCGAAGGGAGGCAAGAGGGGAGAGAGACAGGCTCTCGCAGCTGCTTGGAGACCCCAGAACAGAGCACTGCCCCTTGCTTGCTGCGCTAGTCGGGGTTGGGGGGAGGCCAGACCCACCGGGCCCCTCAGAGCACTCTGTCACATGTCCCCCTGAGCCCCTGGTTCTCAGGTTCCCTGATGAGCTGCCTTCCTTCAGGAGCGCTGCAGGGCCCCGCGGCAGACAGGAGCACACTTGAGCCGTATTTTCAATAACCGCTGTATTTCTGCATAGACCATATATAGGCTAGTTCCTCTGATTGTTCTAAGGAAGGAATTATGTTAACAGCTGATAGGATCACATGCAGCCGCTTTTCTTGCTATGTTTTGAACTGTTTCAGCTTCTCACAGTGAGCATGTTTTATGATTGTTTTAAAAACGTGTGCTAACACAAAGAGGTCTCCACTCCCCACCTGTGCCTTACTGCCACCCTAGCCCCACACCTCTCCCGCTCGGCTGAGGTTTCTGATCAGCACGGATCAACATTCTTTGAGTTCCTACCACCTTATCAAACAAAACTCCTCCTTCTTTATATGGCACACTTACGCTCTGGTGTACACTCCACGGGAAGAGTCAGGGATGATGACTGTGTGGTCTAGCAAATGCCAAGGAACAACAGTCTTTATTTGGTGAACAGGTAACAAAACTTGGTGCAGAGCGTGAGCCCCGTTTTGTTTAAAAAAAACAAAAACAAAAAACAAAAAACAAATTGTGGGTGTGTATGTGTATACAGAGGAAAAGTAGAGAACGTATCCCCCAGGACTGACAGTGGTTGTCATTATGCCATTATCTGTAACTGCAGTCCATTTGTTGTGCTTGTATGTGGTTTTCAAATTTCTGCGGTCAACGTTTCTTTCATTGGAAAATAACACAATAAATGTGACTTTGAAACCGTTTTCCGTCGTCTCTACATCCTCTCGGGAGCCCTGCTTTTGTTTTCCTTTCCTTACAGACAAGTTCCTTCAAATGTTGCCCTCCTCCCCCAGATTTAGGACCCCACCAGCCAGGTGATCTCCTCAACATGCTCTGTCCTGGATGCTGGACCAAGAGTCCCTCCCCCTAGAGTCCCTCTCCTTCCTCTGGGACACCAGGCTGTCCTGAGTGCTGGGCTCGGTGAGGGGCGAGCCCACCAGCCACCTCCACCAGGCTACTCCTTGGCATAACCCAGCACCTCAACATAATCCTTCCTGTGTCCAGCTGCCCTGTATCTGTCAACTTCCAAGTCACCTATGCAGGACCCAGAAACTCACTGAGCCCCTTCTTCCTGCCTGCCCCTGCCCCCTCCAGCTGGTCCCCTCCTGCTGTGTCCACTTCCACTTAAGGCCTTTGGAATCTAACCTCTTGTCCCCCTGCCCATTCCCTGGAGCCCATACCCCACGGTGTCCCAAACTAAGAGGTGAGTGACCTCTATGGGCATCTGTGGGAAGTCCCAGGGTCCCTTCCTTATGACCTCTGAGCCTGAGGTTTCATGTTATTAAAGGAGCCAGTGTGGTCACTGAACTGTGTTTCTACTACTCATGGGGCCAGGTCAACACGGTGTAAGCCAAGTTTTCTCAAAAAGCTGGCGTCCTTGCAGGTCTACTGGGTGATTTGACCAGTTAGGATAGGCTGGGTTATGCTGCATTTAACAAAGACTCCCCCAGAAGATTTATTTCTCATGCTATTTGCCCATCAGTCTTGGCTGGCCCAGCCTGAAACTGTCCCCCCATTTGGAAGGTCACTGATGGGGAGAAGGAGGGTCACAGCGATGGGGAGAAAGGAATACGGTGCTCTAAGGTTGTCATCCAGATACACCTATTTCTTCTGTCTACAACCTGCAGACCAAAGCAAGTCACATGGATGGGGGCAGGGAAATACAACCCTACCTTTTGCCCAGAAGAGGAGCCCCAGAATTACTGGTGAACACCACTGAGGGCCAAAGAGCCTCAAAAGCCAAAACCCAAAGTCTCTTATGACCCAATCAGTTTAGGAAATACGGGGTTCAAGAAAGTGAGCGAGGTATAGGTGCTGCAGGACTTCTCAGAGCCTTTATTTTTTAAAAAAGATTTTATTTATTTATTTGGCAGAGAGAGAGAGAGAGAGAGATATCACAAGTAGGCAGAGAGGCAGGCAGAGGGAGAGGGGGAAGTAGGCTCCCTGCTGAGCAGAGAGCCCGATGTGGGGCTCAATCCCAGGACCCTGAGATCATGACCTCGCCCGAAGGCAGAGGCTTAACCCACTGAGCCACCCAGGCACCCCTGCTCAGAGCCTTTAATATGTTATTATGCATTTTGACTGTCAGAGATGGTGTTTGAGGATGAAGCTATGACTGTGTTTCTGATCTGTCTTCTGTCACCTTGTCACCAGTGCCTTGTACCCAACAGATTCTCAAATATTTGGCACAGGGGCCTTGTTACAATCTGCAGGTCAGCCTCACGGCTTACCTTTGAGAAGAGGCTTACTCAAGAGAATACTGAAGGAGAAAATCAGGAAGATCTAGTTTATTCAGCGTTTACGGTGAGCCAGGCACCTCTCCCCATCGCGTCAAATCCTCAGCATACCACCATGCCTTAGCAACTGCTGTGTTCGCCACCAAAATGAAGCCACGTGGCCTCTTGTTCTCCGCCCCCAGCCCATCCCTCGGACCATCTCGCTAGTCCTCACTGGCCGCAGCTCAATGGAGATGCCACTGATTTCCCCACGGCTCACCGAAGGCCCTGCGATGTGCCGGGCGTTGTCACACTCCCTCTTATTCCAATCCCGTGACGTAGTATGACCCTCGCCTTCCCTTTACCAACGAGGGGACCACCCTCGGGCCTTCCGCAACTATGACAACTCGGCGCTCAGCAGGAGGGTAGCAGGTGCCATCCCGGATCTGTGCTGCCCCTGACGCTGGGGGAGGCGAGCCTGGACGCTTCGCGGGGGCGTGGGGCCCGCACAGCACCCGCCCGGCCGGGGCGCCAGGAGGGCTCAGGAAGGGCCCTGGGTGAAGCCTTGGCGAACCCACCAACCCTTGGCTCTCTCCTAGGGGCGACACCGGACGCCGGCTCCCAGCGGGTCCTCACACTGACTCGCGCCCACCGCGCCAGCAGCTGTGCGGGCGTCACCGGACGCTCTGCGCTTGAGCAGCCTCCAGGCAATGGGGCTTCCCGGCATCCGTGTGAACATCCGGGTCATAGGCCCTTAAGGACCAATGAGAGGAAGTATCGTGAGCTAAGGGGCGGGGCATCATGGCTGCCCCCAGTGCGCCGCGTCCGGGGTCTGGTGGATGTTACACTGATTGACAGCTCCGTCACCGCGGGCCCGCCCTCTGCCCTCACCAGCGGAGCGGTGGTCACCCCGGGAACCTCTACGAGGCGGCGGCCGGAGAGGGAGCCATGGGGACAGTGCACGCCCGGGTAAGAGGCCCAGCGACCCGCGGGCCGCGTGACCTCTGGGCGAACGCCGCGGGGAAACGCTCTCGCGGCTGCGCCCGGGGTTCCCTCGGTAAGGGGGCGCCGAGGGCTGCAGGGCCTGGACGCCTCGTGGTGGAGGCCGCAGAGACGCTGCCAGCGGGTCCCGCAGACCTCGGAGCAGGAGAACGGTTCCCAGAGGAGGGGCGTGACTTGCCCAAGGTCACTCGGCGAGGAGGTTGCTCAGAAAGGACTAGCGAACTTTGCGTGGTGACCCGGGGCGGAGTAACAAGTTTTCCTCTTGGAGAGTTGACTTTTCTGGCCTCCGCCGTTTCGGGCGTCTTCTCTTCTTACGGGTCACCTTCTGCAGTCTCCCGCTCAGCCCCAGCTGGGGTCCTCGTGGACCCCTAGAGCACCCAGTGTCCTTTGAAGACCCAGACCCATCTAGGAGCCCTCATTTCTCCTGCTTATGGTGCAGAGACAGAAGCTGCCCCTGCTGTAGTTACCACTTTTAAAGTGGAGGCGGGAAAAGCCCTTAACCAGTTTGTTGCCAGAGTTACACAGTGGGTGAAAGTACTTGGGTGCTCGGTGCGTCCCCACTGCTTGCCAAACTGCTCGCCTTTATCGTAATCTTAACTGAGAGCCAGAGAATTTGTGTGAATATTTGTCCAAGGCCCCATTTGTTAGAGCCTCAGAATGTTCCAAAACTCAGACCTCCTGAGTCCCAGGCGTCCGCATTACTTTTCTACTGCAACATGGACTGTTTTCACTTGTCCCGCTCAGGAGTTTTCCATACTTTCCGGTTGCTTCCCAAAGAATTTAGCACAGACCCCCTCAGCTTGGTGTGGGCGGTCGGACTTCACTCTCCTTCACAGATCATTCAGATGAAACACAGCAGGTCTTCTGACACGGTCCTTGGGCATGTCCAGCAGCTCCTCACTCACCCATCCCCAGGCCCATCGTCAGCCATGGCCATAGTCTCATCTCTTAGAGCTCGGTTCGGGTCAGTTCCTCCATCAGCCTCCTCCTTATCTGCCCTCATTTGGACGTGCTGATTGATAACTTCCTTGATGTGTTTTCCTTTGGCGCCTGTCTTAGCTCCTTTTAGATTTTTCTCTTGCTGTCTTCCGGTGTAAGTTTCTAGATGTTACAGTAAGAGCTGGATCTTACTTGGTTTGCATCCCTTGTAACATCTTCAACAAAGTAAGCATTCATTCATTTATTTCCATAACATTTACCGGTGGTCTACTAGGCGCCCAGCACGGCTGCTAGGGTTACAGAAAAAAAACAACAACAAAAGTCTTTGTTGTTATTGAGCTCTTTTGGTACTAAAATCGCTGCTTTGATTAATATGTTGGTAAAAAATATTCTTCAATGTGGGGGCGCCTGGGTGGCTCAGTCATTAAGTGGCTGTCTTCAACTCAGGTCATGATCCCATGGTCCTGGGATCGAGCCCCACATCAGGCTCCCTGCTTAGCGGGAAGCCTGCTTCTCCCTCTCCCACTCCCCCTGCTTGTATTCTCTCTCTCGCTGTGTCTCTCTGTGTCAAATAAAAAATCAAATTGTTTAAAACCATATTCTTTAATTTGAGCTTACAGCCCACTGGCCAGCATCACTTGAATGCTTTGGTCAGGATTCACAGTAAGGAAACATTTTACGTTTGCCATCTAGTACCCTAACGCATATGGGAAACAAACATTTTGTGAAACAGCATTTACCATGAATATCTGTTATGCTTTCTTAAATTTCCTATTTGACTTGAGCCTGTATCCCTTTAAAGATGCTGTTCATAACTCGCTAAATTGATTGCATGTTCTGTCCCTTCAGTTAGCACTGCCTTGCGCAGTACCTGGCACATGGCGTTCAAGAAAACTTGCTGGGATTGCCTGGGTGGCTCCGTCGGTGAAGTGTCTGCCTTCAGCTCAGGTCAAGATCCCAGGGTCCTGGGATGGAGCCCTAGTCAGGCTGCCTGCTCAGTGGGGAGTCTGCTTCTCCCTCTCCCTCTTCTGTTCCTTTCCGCCTGGTGCACACACGCACGCTCTCTCTCTCTCACATCTCAAATAAATAAAATCTTAAAAAAAAAGAAAAGAAAACTTGCCAGCTGGTAAGCTGAGCTGCTGAAAGAATAGAGCTAGATCCAAATATTTATTTTAATTCATTTCACCAAATACTTAACCCGTGCCTGCTGTCTGTTATATTCCAGACACTGGAATGTAAGTTTGTGAGGGTGAGGAGCTTGTACGTGCTTGCCACTTGATGGGTTCTTAATATTTGGTGAATGAATGCTTCTCTATTAGTAAGGCCGTTATTTTAGGGCATTAAGCTTTGATGGAACTGTGGAATCATAAAGACATCATCTCTTAAAGTTTGAATTTCTGACTAAAATATACAGGTGGGCATGGCACATCTTTACTGAGCCTTATTTCATGCTTTGAAATTTTAGGAACTGTAATGGAAGTTTTTTTTGTGTCGTGGAATGTAAACCTTGTGCCCAGACAAAGCATATTTGCTAAACATTCATATCAAGTAGAATGAATATGGGCATATGTTCCTAACCATAGTATACACTCTGCATACAGAATCAGCACAAATTTAATATCCTTTTTTACACTATGTAAACTTAAACATAGGAAGCGTATTTGTGAAATGGTGCAGATAAAAAGTTACTTTTTTTGTTAATATTTTGAGAGATTATAGTAACGATTCCGTTTTACGATATTACACCACAGAAATGAAAAGATGATATGAAACAAGTGATATATTCTTTGCCCAGCATTATTTTCCCCATTTACTTAACGTAAATATTCCGCTTCAACCACCATGAGGCCGTGGTCTGTCTCGCGCACTGCTGTCAGCCCAGCGCTCGGCATGCGGCAGGGTGGACTGCCAGCGTCAAGAGATGTGCCACTGCAGCAGGGACTGCTTCTGCCTGAAGAAGCCAAGGGTGGCTCACAGAGACCACATTTCAGGCAGATCATTTCAGGGAGGAGAGGAAGAGGTCTGCACCAACATGCACATGAGGGTCGGCGGGGTCCTGGAGGTTGAACTTGGAGTCGCAGGTGTGGGCCTTATGGAGAGGTTCTTCATGTGCCCTGCTACAGAATCTGGTTGCATTCTATACCTCCAGGCACACTCGAGGGCTGTCGCAGTCTTTTAGAGCGGGAGTGGGAAAGAGGACACGTCAGGTCGTTACCTTTCCAGACAACCAGGGACATGGAGGAAATACGACGAGTCTGTCGAGTGTATCTGGGGAAAGGGGTAGTGTCCCAGGGTCTCCACTGCCACACATACTGCAGATGCCAAACACAGCCGCACTTGAAAGCACTTATTTGCTGAGAATTGGTGGAGTAAGGAAGCAGCCAGATGCTGGTTAGGACAGTTTTCCCCAAACTTGCATAACTGTACATTTGCCTGGTGCCACACTAGACCTTCTGAATCCCTTTCCAGGAATGTCTGGGAATCCCTGTATTTAAGCAGGCATGTACGTAACATATAATATCATACGTGTGAGTAATTATAAATCCTATCACGTTATCATGTCATCCGGAAGTACTAGACCAGCCACAGCTTGTGGAATCCTTATTCAGAAGTTGCCTTAATGCTTTCGAGAGGAGAGGTCAGTTCAGGTTGTAGAAAGTGACGGCTCTCTGGTACATTTTATGAACATAGGCAGTTCCTTTTAATGTGTGAATGAGACTTTCAGGGTACAGAGAAATATGGTTTAGAAATTTGACTTGTCAGTGTCATTATTCTAAAATGTATCCAATTTTGATAAAAAAAATTAGGATACTTTCTAAAACAAAATACTTTTTTTCCTTTCTTTGATGTTTTAAAAAAAAAAGATTTATGTATTTATTTGGAGGGCGGGAGACAGTGTGTCCGCACGTGTGGGCCCTCCTGAGCAGGGGGCGGGACAGAGGGAGAGGGAGAGAGAATGTCAAGCAGACCCCTTGCTGAGAGCAGAATCCAACACCTGGCTTGATCTCATGACCTGAGATCATGACCTGAGCCAAAATCAAGAGTCAGATGCTTCATCAGCTGAGCCACCCAGTTGACCCCTTTGATAAATGTCTTTTTGGCACCTTATTTTGTAACTATTTTTTTTCTTCAGATGGGCCTTAGGTGTACAGACCCAAATAGCCATAGCCCCAGAGGCCTCCATTCGTGACACAGTCATCATAGGTTTGTGCCTGTCCCTTTCAGTTATGTTTCATCCTTATTTTATTTATTAATAATACACTGGACACCAGGGAGCTCACAACCAGTTCAGGACTTGTATATCAATAATGCTTAGGTCTGTCCTTTGCTTCCCAGCCTCCACTCCACAGAGGGAAACACAGTTCTTAGCTTTCTGGATCACCATCTGAAGACGAAATGCAAAGATTTTTGTTTTTTCGTAAGTTTTTTAATCCCCGTTTTCTCCCTCCCTTTCAGAGTTTGGAGCCTCTTCCACCTAATGGACCTGATTTCGGCGCATTAGGAGAGGAAGCTGAGTTTGTTGAAGTTGAACCTGAAGCCAAACAGGAGATTCTTGAAAACAAAGATGTGAGTTTCTGCCGAAGGGCTTTATGCGGTTCCTGCTGGAGCCATTTGCTTCCCCAGACCCCCAGGGAGACCGAAGGATTGACCTGTCCCATTGCCTTCATTTAAGAAGACCTGGTAGCCAGCTACATTTTAGAAAGGCTGGTGACTTTTAAAAAGTAGCTTCTGGTTTTAGAGTAATTGTTTATTTATTTATTTATTTTTTTGAGATTTTATTTATTTGACAGAAAGCGAGATTGCAAGTAGGCAGAGA